TTCCCCTGAAATCCTGATGCAAAATACGATGTATAGCATACTGTAATTGTTCCATAGACGTTGTATAAAACTAGTGAATTTTCCTACATAATCCCACCCCTTTCCAAACCACCTCTAATGAATTTTTCTTACTGAAAAGAAGTTTTGAAAATAACCTACTCCAGCTAAAATGAAAACAGAACATTGCAATAATTCTGCATTACTTAATGAACAAAATCCCAAGCTCTTTTGTCTAATACACCACAATTTTTTCCAACACTAACGTTCTTTTCTGAACCCTAATCCCATTTGTTTTGCTCCTCATTCTGGAATTCTGCTATTAGCTTATTTAATGTTTCAGTCCTTACTAAGACTAGAACTCTTACCTAAGTCTTGCCAATCTCCTTTCCAGAGATTAGAACTTTGATTCTGTCTCTAAGGCAGTGAGTTAGAGTTGTACAATTCCTAAGAAAAAAATGCACTGCTAGAATGAACTCCCTCAAAAACAATGGGCATTCCTGTTATCTCCCTTTGCAAATTTCTTTCTTTTCATATGCATCATGACAAGAAGTTACCATGAATTTTGAACATCAAAGTGTATTTGTTCACAAACTGAAATTTGTTTTCAATAAGAGGAATGGGTTTCCCCCAAGAAGGTGAATCTAATACCAGATCTAACCTCTACTCTGCTTACTGTTATTGACTATGTCTGCAGATATATTTTCTGTTAAAATATTCTAGAATATGTTTCATTTTATTCTTATAACAAATATGGCAAGCTTCCATGTGTTAATTATTATCTATTTCTTATAAACCCATGGGACTATGACCTTGTTAAGGAAAAGGAGTATGTTTTATATTTTATTGAATAATTCACTATAATTTGTACATTAGTTCATATAAAGAGGGTACTCAAATATTTATCAAATGAGTTTTATACTCCATTCATTATCCCTTTTTACCTCATGACACCACAATAGGGTTGCTACTGTCTTTTTGGCTCTTGACTTAAAGAGAAATTAGGGACAGCTATTCTGGTCATGATTGGTTCATAACTGAAAATATGTCCTAAAATAACCTGATATTAAAAAATGAAGAATCAGAGTTCTTGAAGGTCACACAGAAGATTGAGAATTATTGATAAACTTTAACATTTTGGTCAATTTTAACAATAAATTTGTCTTTTATTGGACATTGCTCAATAATGTATTTTAAATTGGGGAGATTTTTATGCATCTGCAAACACAATGAACAAATTGTCCATTTATCTTGAAAAACAAGAATCATGAAATTTTAGAAGCAGAATAATATTTTGCAATAAAAGCTCACACTTTTCATTTTGCCAAAGAGAAAACTAACACAGAGAAATTTGCACTCCCAAGACCAAAAAGAGCCAGAATTTCAATAGCTGTAAGGGGAACTGAGTGGGATTCCTAGTCAGAAGGGAAAGCACTTTGAGAGAAGTCCTTGAAATACATATTGCTAATTTCTCCCTGATTGCCATTCTTCTGTTTTTCCTACTAGCTGCACATGATCACTCATCTAAAGACTACAGTTTGAAGCATCCTTTAGAATAGGTATGGCAATGAGATTAAATTGCTTGGGCTTCTTCTCTTCCTGTTTTCATACCTTCCCACCAGTTGGGATCCAGATCTAGTTTAATCTGAAAAGGTTAAGCAGAGTTTCCCAGTCCCTGGGCTGTGAATCGGTGCCTGTCTGTGGCCTGTTAAGAACTAGACTATACAGCAGGAGGGGAGCAGACGGCAAGGCAGCATCACCTCATGTCATTAGATTCTCAGAGGAGCACCAACCCTACTGTGAATTGCACATGTGAGGGATCTAGGCTGCACACACCTTATGAGAATCTAACTAATGCCTGATGATACAGGGTGGAACAGTTTCATCCTCAAACCATGCCCATCCCACCTCCACCACCCTGTCCATGGAAAAATTGTCTTCCATGAAACCAGTCCCTGGTGCCAAGAGGGTTGGGCACAAATGGGTTAAAACAACAATAGAGAAGGAAACAAGGAGCCTCTATGAGCTTATGGAGGATAGCTACCTACTTGCCTGAATTGCTTTCTTATACCTGGATTATTGCATGAGGAATAATATTCTGAATGTTTGAAACATTGTATTTTTGGATGTCTTTTGATTGCAGTGTAGTCTGTGCCCTAATATGCCCTCAGGCCAGCTATCCGGATACATAGAACACAGAATTTTAGTGGTAAATGAGTCCTTAAAGAATTCCTGATCCAATCACTTATCTGCTTGCTGACAGATATACAATTAGGCAATTTCATTGAGTACTTGCAACTTCATTGAGTACTTCCAAGAGAAATATCTTGCAGACTATTTATCTTGTCATTAACTTACCAAGCTTTCCCCCACTAAAGCATCATGTTAAAAATATATGCCTGTGAGAGCAGCAAATGAAAGTGTACATCACTTAGAGAGAAAGTTATGCTGTAGCACAATGTACTGTTCCTCTGAAGCATATATAACTTTGTTCTCCAAAGTTAACTTATTCCTTATGTTCTTATAACTGTTTATTCAAACATGGGATCACAAATAGTTAATGAGTAACTAATTGCTACCTAACAGGAACCATGCTTGGACAATATTCTTGTCCTCATGTTTGATTTAAAAAAACAAAAGTTATTAAAATAATTAAATTAGCAAGTCTAGTCAACATTACTAAGGCAAAGCACATACTTGTGTTGGGGTGTTAAACAGGAGGACCTAACATAATTTGGTGTTGAGAATTCTGAACTTTTTGTTTGAACTTATTTTTATATGTAATCTGTTATAGTGGTAAAATACTATTAATTTTGGCTGATCAATAAAATTTTGAGGGCATGAGGAGGAGTGTAAAGCAAGACATCATTTTTCATGGTGCGGTGAAAATAATCCTAGTGATAGAGAAAAATAACAGAAGAATTTCATGCACCCTCTTTATGTGCATGAATGGGGAAGAATCATCGAACCACAACCAGAAGTGAAAGAGAAGAACACACAAAAGAAGTTTTTGGCTGTCTATCCAGAGAATAATGCCTCTTTCCAACTGGCCCTATCTAAGTTAAGTAAGCAGAACTATATAACTATGTAATGCTTTGAGTGTGTGATTGTCATAACTTTGAGTTTTAGGGTTATTGAAACAATAAAATATTGCTTGTATGTGTGCGTGTGAATGAATCTTATATAGAATGTATCCATTATGATATAGAAAACTCATTTTATAGATTAAAAATTGATTTCAATAATTTGAAATAACTTATAATAATGAGTTTCATATTACTAGATGTGAGAATTCGGTGAAGGCACTGAATTAGAATGTGACTAAAGGCATATATTGCCTACATGTTGGTTTGAACATTGCAACTCTACCTATTGCTAAGGCAATAGCAATAATAATAATAATAAAGCAGAGAGGAAGAAACAAGTCATTAGTCCTTCATGGTTATCCCTTTAAAGCCATGATATCTGTACTGTAGGATGGTCTGTAAAAATGAAAGAGAGGACAGATGGCAAGGCAGAACCCAGCATAAGTTTGGATGGTATCCACAAGGAGGAAAATGCTTTATAATTGGTAAATACTGTAATGAAATATGTTAATGCACATTACAAGGATTTAGAAGTCAAGGCCCATCTGTGTGAAACAAATATCGCCAATAAAGATGTTTTCCCACTTGTATTATCAAAGGATCAAATAGTAATTTCAATCACAGTTCAGAGACAAGCCATATGTTAAAAGGTCTCTCACATCTCAAAGGCAGTAGTGTGTTATGTAGTCATATTTTCAGAAATAATAGGGAAGTTGCTTCATTATTTCCTATTTTCTTTTTCACAGTCTTTTAATTGACCTTATGTGTGTGGTTCTATCTGTTAGTTCACCACAGATTCAGAGGTACCGTTGAATCTCTCCAGAATGCCATTGTTAGTTCATAGTTTCTGATTTATAAAGAGTGCAAATGGGATTGATATATTCTGCCCCCGCATCAGCCTCTGCCCTTCTTCATTTCCCTTTAAAACATTTCTGGAAGCCTATGAAATCTACAATTATTTCTCTTTGGGCACTTTGCAATACAACTGAAAGTATATTTTGAAATACAGTATTGCTCATGCAAGCATTGCTATTGATTATGCAAAACAAATCTGCCTGTTATGGTGCACGTATTGCAAAAAAAAAAAAAAAAAATGCTATATTATGTTGACTGTGTTCTCTGTTGATGAAAAACATGTACCTGCTCACAGCTCTGATTCCAAAGGCCCAATTTACTAAAAATTAGTGATCCGTCAGATTAACGGGCATAAAGCAATCTGCACTGTTGGCGCCTTGAAATTTCTTACATCAGTCACCAGATCATGATTTACTAATAGGATTTCAGATCTTGCAAAATAGCACAATTCTAACCACATATTAATATTTAATCTGGCATTTTAAGTGCACCTAACAAAAGACCCTAGAGCTGCTGACAGGACCCTAAATTGTGAATTTCTTAAAAGGGAATTGAGCAGGTCCATAGTGATTTCATCAAAAAAAAAAAAAAAAAAAAAGGAAAAGGAAAATAAATGTGTTTCTACATTTCTTATGTAGACCTCACAAGCCTGGGCTCTGATTTTTCTTAAAAGTATTTATCATGCATTTTTAGTTGCTTTATTAGAGAATCGCAAGACTGGATCTAGTGGCTGGCTGCAAAATGTACAATTTGATGACAGCCGATGCATTTTGGTTAATAAATTTTATATTAGACAATTTGTTCCTAAAATAATTCATTGGCACTTCCAAAATGTTGCTAAATGAGAGATGATACAGCCTATAAATCACTTGAATCACCTTATTTCTTGCTTCTAAGTAACTAAATCTGTTCTGTAGTAGTGAGTTGAAGCTTCTCAGTAGGCAAGTGTGTTTGCTTTATAATCTCAGGTTTACAGCTCTAGATTACCATCAATGCCAAATTCCAGAGATATCCAGATCCATTTCAAATCAGAATGTGCAAAAGAAGAGAGAGTGACCTTACCTGCTGATGTTATCAATTATATGCCATTGTTAGATTTAACGTATATGATGAGTATACCAAATAGGTGTTGCATTACTTCCATTTGTTGAAAAAAAATCATAATTTATGAAAGATATTTCTGTAATAACAGGATGCCACCTGTAATAAGAGAATGTTTATTAGTGCACAAATGAGGGTTATAAATGATGTTGCTTATCTATGAAAGAAAACACAAAAGACAACTTATTAGCCAAAGATAAATTGCTCAGCACAATCTCAATGAGATGCTAGGTTTGTCATTAAAAAAAAAAAAAAAAAAAGCTTTTTATTTGCACAGACCAATGCCTTTATAATCCATTTAAAATAATACACTTGCCACTAGGTGGCTATTTCTGATCAGATCATTTTACCATTTTAATTACATTTTTAATATCCTGGCTGCATAAACAAAGATAAATTACAAACCCTGCACAATCTGGCTGCTAGCTCAGGCATAGTCAGTAATAATATCAGCTTTTGTTTGTGCGTCCTCTAATTAGATTCTGAAATCTAGGCTTTGTCAATCAATAATTTTAATTTTAGAATCGCTTTTTGATCTTGCATTTCATGTTTGTTTGGGAAAATGATCAGTAGGACAAAGCTGATAATTTATGCAGAAACAATCTCTCAGCAGAGCTACATGCACATTCCTCCCCATCAACAGAAGCCTGCAGACTAAGCTTGACACAGGTCTAATTAGCATGCAGATATGTCGCCTCATTGGCAATTCAAATTGCTTTTTTATAATGTACCTCAAATTGTGCTACTCAAACATTGTATTTGATTTCCAAAGCCCCCTGGGCATCCCATAATGTCTCCCTTCATCCTGGGTATGAAGCATTTATTGAACAGTCTGCTGAGACTGGCTGTCTTTTCGAAAACACCCAAACATCGTATTCCTGGGACCAGCTTTTCTTCTTGTCAGAGAGCAACTTGTTCTTCTGCGGAATTCCTTGTGCCACATTTGTAGGTTTAGAGATGACATGCTACCTCATGAGTTGCTTCTCCCACGTGGTTGATCTATAGAGGGCTTCACTCCTGTGCCACTCATTTTTAAAGTGGGGGAGAATGTCTGGTAAGCACACATTAATATGCAGCACATAACCACATCCTCTGAATGCCAGTCCTCCATTCTTCATTAAACAAAAATGGCTGGATTGCAGGGATTGTTTTTCCTTTCTCCCACATACTTATGCACACATGCTCACATTTGCTTTCTTGGGCACACCTACATGCACACAACTACATCACGCGCATCTACACACCTATGCAAGACACCCACAGCACATCATTGTCAGGATGGAGTTATGTGTGAAAGTTGTCTGCTGCACACATGACAAATAAGGGGATTCCAGCATACACTGGGGCTTTTTAAAAATTCCTTTTTTTTTAACCATGCAGCAACAAGTGGCAGAATCAATGGTGTACAGTTATTCAGCAATGTAATTCATTTCACTGGCTTTGGCTCCTAGCCAGATCCGCCATCTGTCTCTAGCTCTCTCTCTCCCCCTCTCTCTCCCTCTCCCTCTCTTTCGCTTGAATTTGTCCTACATTTCGTAATGTTACGTGCCTGCCATCCTTATCCTATGCCAGAGATACAACACCAGTCTCACCCCCATTCCGGCGTGGAATTCTCTGAGTTCGGTGGCACTTGGGATATTCCACTTCAGTGCCATGGGAAGAAAATGGTAAGCAAAAAGCAAAAGGAATAATGTAAAAAAAATATATATATATAATGTTCTGGTATCCAGTTGCTCCTGCTTCAGCCTTTTATCCAAAGCCTTGAGATGGATCTGCCTCATCCAGGAAGTTTTCCTGCTTCGTTAGAGTATCTTCGTTTTCTTTATCAGACGCTGGCTGGCACTCCACGCCAGTGCACGGCTCCATGGAATGCCTGCTGTTGGACACTTGCAGAGCTCTGCCACCAAGCAACCTCCTGCATTGGAAATCGGGGGACTACTCCAGGATCTTATGCGTGCTTGCTGTTTGAAGCTGCAGAAAAGTGAATAATCAATTAAGTATTGATTTCTTGTAAGATTTGGTAAATTTCAAAGGCAAGACAAAGAGGATGGCTTAAGGAAACACTGCAGGGACTTGGCGTAAATTAGACAACTAACGGAAGTGCAGAATAAAATAATACCTCAACTGAAGATTTCCTTGGAAGAATTAGCACTAGCTATTGGAAGACAATGGTGGATTTAATCAAAACAGCAGGCATGCAAGAATTTTACCCGTGAACCAGAAAAAGGAGCTAATTATAACCACCTTTTTAATGGAGCTAATTTGACTGAATGGATGCAAATGTGCTTTATTTATGGATGAAGAAGCAAGCCTTACTGCATGATCTTGGGATCATCGGATCTGCTAAGCTTTGCAGCTTCTGTTACCTTCAGTACATTTTTTATTTCCGGAGAAGGTATTTATATGTAAACAACAGCTAACCATGCAAAAGATTCATCGGAACAATATACTGTGGTATATGAGATATAATCATAATTTTGCAGCCTCTCAGGATTTCCTCTAACTTGGAGGTTTTGCAACCTTTGTGTGCAATGGGTTATGGTAAACAATAAATGAATGATGCTAAAGTGTTGTGATTTTTCAATGTGTAGTTTATTAATTTTAGCTTTCTTAACATGTTGATTCTGAATTATTTGCAATAAATCCATATGAAAGAAAGGGAATTGCTGGGTGGGGTTTTTTAATGCATTTGCAGTCTTCTTAGAGATCGGAATGTGTAGGTCCCACCAGCCCATGAGCTCTGTAATTATAAAAGAATGGTAAAAAATTTGACAATTTGAAGAATTGGTTTTATAATGGGAACAATGTGTTATAATCAGTAAAAGGAGACTTGTTATGTTTTCTGTCTGTGTAGAATGTTCTTGAGTGGTTAACTCCTCTGTTGCTGATGAGAAGTAAATACCAGGACTGGCAATAAGCAGAGATTGTAATGACAATGCTTTGTTCCTATGCATCCTCATATTTCAAGCTAAAGTGCATTTTAAGCATTTCCTTCTATTTCTATTATTTTCCTTTCCATTTTTGTTCTTTTCATCATTTTTTCTGTCTTGCAATCTACGTTCCCTGAGCAACCATAGGAACCAAGTTACATTAAGCTTCAACACAAAGACCTTGTAAGAATAATGAATCCTCATTTGCATCGACATTTGTATTCAGATTTGCCAGGCTATAAACTTGGCAGATCAAGCGGAATATTAAGTAGAGGCTTCCATGGTAAATTGTGGCTCTTGAAATTGCTAACTACCCCCTCCCCTTTTTTTCTCTCTCTATCTGTGATGGCAGGTGAAGTCTCATGACTACTTGCTTCTTAAGAAGCGTATTGGCTCCTTCATCTTTCATTATATGATGTCAGTCTCAAGCAGAAGACGGGCAAAGCCAGTTGTAGGTGTTCTAGTTGAAGGTACAAAATGACATGGGACTGGAGCATTAATTCTAGAGTCCATATATCACAAGAGGTGTCTTTAAGTAGTTGAAGCTGTAAGAAAATTAATTCTCACGTGTGGGCTAAGGTTTGATCTTTCTGGTATGTTCAAAATGCATTAACCTCATGAAAGTTCACACTCATTTTTTAAAGCTTCTAAAGGTTGGAGGAGGACCAAGGTAGCTCTTTACTCACAAAATAATGCAGTTACACCATTCTGAGTCATCCTCACTGATCTGCTCATGCCCATTCTTGAAATATTTCAAATGCCTCATTCTATTAAGCCTCCATGGATTGACTGAGTTAATCCTGAGTTTTGCTTGATTCTGAAATGGTAAAATAGGAATAGTTATACTTACTGTAAGCAAACTTTTAAATTCAGCAATATGACCTATAAGGTCATTTCTACAACACAGCCAACAATGGGGTGAAAAATGTAGACTTTAATTTCTATGCTTGGTCCACCCTATGTGATGCCAAACAAGTGAGTAATCGGAAACATTTGTGCATAACTTAATTTTTCATGCATTACCCCAGTGTTTCAGATTTCTGTAAACAGAGCCTAAATCTATGACCTATTAACAAACTCTCACTTCTTGCCATCCCTTTTTCTCTCTAGAACCTTTCACTAGTGGGGAGCAATAAAACATATTAGAACTAACAAACTTACAATGGACATTTAATAGTGGTTTTTCTTTTTATTCTATTTTTTAAAATGTAAATAGAGTAAATGATAACATGTAGACTGAATTTATCATAAAGACATTTTCTTATGGTATATTGCAAGGAACTATGAACTTGTAGTAACTACTATAAGCAACTGACAGGTAAGTCTTACTCTAGGTTGAGGTAAAGTTTAATTGTACACGGAAAAAAAAAATTGGAGAATGTTTCATGAAAGATGCTAGACTTTTTTTTTTGAAAAACATACCAGCAAATATGTAGAATGAGGAGTCATACTTTATAAGCTTCCATAAACTTGTAAAACTATGTATAATAATCTTTCCATAGTGTACACTGGTATGATATTAATAAATCACAATGTAGCACATTTTAAAGTAGGGTTTTAGCTATTTTTCTTAGTAACTGAGTTTTAAATCTGAGAAGAAAAACGTAAATTATGACTTTTTGGGAAACTATATTCTTGCATTCCACAATTGAACTTTTAAGGAAAATAAACTATTAGATAGTTTGGTACTAAGTACTTCTGTACTGAAAAACAAGAGTATTGCCACTATCTGGCAATATTGTACTTTTATATTTACTCTTTTATGTGAAAAAGATGGAAGCATGATAACTAACATAAAGTTGCCTTGATCTAATAATAATAGTAATCTCTGATTGCTATCAGAATTAGAAACAATATTTACATGGAACTCTTTTTCTAGGGTCCTAATGATAACATCTGATGACGAAGTGTAACCATCAACTTTAAAAAAAAATGCAAACAAAGATTAGAGACTGATACATTAGTTTGAAACAATGTTGTTTATACATGTGAAACAAAGACATGACTGCATCATTTTTAACATATGTTTGCTGTTTCATATAAATGTGAAATTCAATAGATTAGGCTTCAAAACGATATTTTTTTCTGATAGATGGTGTTGATCATTTTATTTAAAAAAAGTAAGTATACATTTGGTCATATTCAAAGAATATATTTTGGTTGTCATTCAAATAAAATTTAGAAAGGAAAAGATTTACATTTATACGTTTCTTCAGCACTGCCCATCAATTTGAAACCGTCTTCTTTAATAAATACTAATGATTTGGTTGATTACGTTTGCGCATGTACTTACCATGCAGTTTTGGGAATCAACACACTGATGAACCTCGATCAAGAAGAGAAATTATAGCATTAGCTCATTTGCTTTCTAAACAGCAGGAGTGAAAATTCTATCCAAAATAATATTAATGATACTGTTTTAGCATCCGCACAGAAAAGCACGTAAAATTTCTTATCAGTGTTTTGTAGATATGGTTCATATTTATTGACTATTATCTCTTCCTTCGTTGTAGGAATACAACTGGGTACATATTTTAAGCCAGCAAATCAAAACCAAAACCAAAAACACACTAAAATGCCCACTTAAAATTGAAGTGTCTCATCCAAATTTGAGAAGGGAGCAAGCCTATTTGTACCCCTTGCATAGGAAAATAGCACAATGACATAAGTTCAGGGCAATTTCTCTGTGTTGTCTTTCTGCTTCTATTAGAGGATTTTTTACTAACTGGTCAAAATGCACATTATCATTACATTTTTCCCACCATACCTTATGTAGCCACTGTTATACTAACTAGTAAGGTTGTTAGCCAGAGGAACAATGCCCAGAAAACAGGGCGGGGCATTCCAGGGCCAGTAAGTCCTTGTCCTGTATAAATTAGAGCAGTGGAGCCCCATGTGTGTTAAACTGAGAACTTGAGCCTTGCTGAATTTAACATTAACGTGTTTTGTTGGTCTTTTTAGTAGGGTAGCTGAGGGCTTTGCCGTATTTATAAAGCACTCAGAATTGTAAGACTTAGGCCACAACATTTAGAACACACGCACATTCATCACTTGACCTTTAAAGTCAGTTTAATGTTTTCACTTTTAC